TGTAGGGAGCCACAGAGAGGGATTCGGTCGCATCTGAGGAGGGAGCCAACCTCTTGCAGTAAGAAAGTGGTTTCTACCTGCCTTTGCTGCCCGTGCGATCCTTTGTGAATGAAGGGGAGCGCCGGAAAAAGGCAGTTTGTTGCTACAGTGATCCAGAGAACGAGATACTGCTGCTGTACACGCCGCTGCTCGCGCTGCTGCTGCCGCAGCTCCTTGTAGCAGGTAAGGCGCTTTTTCTGGGAAGGGGGAGGAGGAGAGAGCGGGATGGCTCCGCAGCGGCCGGGGCTGTGGTGTGGGGGCTCCGCAAACACTGCTCGAAGGGGACACTGTCCCCGCGGAGCAGCTGCCGGGGCAGCGCGAGGGAGCGGAGCGCGGGGATGAGCCGCCTGGATCTGCTGCCCATCCCGATTTGGAACGGCGAAACTTCAGTAAGTTCTAAACAAAGTGTGCGCGAGTCCGCAGTGCCTAAAGCAAAGGGGAGCAGTGGAGGGAGAGGAAGGAGCTGCACCTTCCCCTTGGCGCTTTGCAGGCGTCCAGCCCTGCGCCAGGTCGGGCAGCGGCTCTGGAATGCAGAGGTACAGCGCTCTGGGTGCCACTACTTCTGTTGAGATGGCTACTCACATCAGCGCTGATCAAAGGCAAAATGCAGCGTGCTCAGCTCAAAGGGAAAATAGCTAAGTGATGTGTGAAACTCATGGGACTGAAAATGTATTTGCTTCCTTTTATTTATTTATTTATTTATTTTTCTTTCCCCTTTAAGAGCTGAGTTCTCTCTGTGTGTGTGTGAATAAGGGGCCGGGGGGGAATTTCTGCAGCATTGACCTTTAAAGTTATAAGGTTCAATTAAAAGAAAGACGGTGAGGAATGTGAATTCCACTTGAAGCAACTTTGGAAACACCTGAGCAGCCTCCTCCCTCAAAAATAGAAAGCTCTGCAGAAATAATTTAATGGTGAGAAATAAAATTTAGCCCTGATATACAAGATTTTCCAATGCAAAGCACGATTTATTGTCATAATATTTCAAATTGATCGACAAATTAGTCATGTGATGAACTGTGTAACATACATAATCTTTATACAAACGTTTGGATGTGAGTTTAGCTCCAAATTACAGATCATTCTGCAAGTGTTCCTATAGCAGAAACGTGTGAAGGTACTTACCTTGATAAATATTTCACGTAATTTTTGATGTGAATGGCTTTATGGCTTTGGTATTTCAATTCTTAATATTTAATTGAGAGTAAGTAGAATACATGTTTCTTGTCCTTTAAATATTCCTTTCAAAGCGTGCTATGGTGTGGTGGTGATGATGGACTTTGTGGAAATTTCTGTGCTTACTGAGTGCTGGTTAGCTGTTCTTTGTTTTTGTTTTGTTTTTAATCTGCTAATATCTATATAGAGCTAAATAGGATGATGGATAGCTTTGATGAGTGGTTAGGTTATTGGTAATTTCTTGCCTATTTTCAAATTCGAATATAAATCACAGCCTAATAGTTCAGGAATAGTAAGTAGGTCTTATGATAATGTACCTTTTGCTGTGTATGTGATTGTATTTCAGACACAAAATAGATCAGTACTAAAATGTTTCCATGAAACCATGCTTTTAAGAGAATCACAGATTGGTCAAGAGGTCTTTATTTCAGTCCTCTGAACATGTTGTTAAACCTTTCACTGATCACAGTTGTTTTCAAGAGGTTTCAAGGCTTCTTATAAAATATTTTCCTAGATGTGAAAGCCAGATGGTTACATTGCAGAAGTCATAAGCAGCTGATTGCTAAACTGATTTGAGTGCTCCAGAACATATCAGCATGCAGACCAAAGGCTTCCATCTCGACTGATCAAACTAGTTATCTGATACTGCTCTTTTTAGAGATTAGGGTCCCTGTGAGACATGTTAGGGAAAACCGATTTTCTTTTGGGGAAGCAAGAAGCAAAATAGTTTGAAAAGACTGCTTTTAAAAGGTAATTTATTTTGTCTTTCCCATATCTATCACATATGTGACATTCTTCCTCAAGTTTGCTTTATTTGGATTAATTTCTGCCCCTCACCCCCACTGGATCTGAGTGCCAGGTCCATGGTGTTTGTTCATCTACAGTGTTGGATCTCCCCCTATTTCTATTCATAATACATAGACCGAATTCCCTCACAGTGTTCAATACTTTGTAATTTTTTTCCAAATGTATAAGAAATAATATTTCAGTTGCAGTAGCATACAATAGAGGAGAGACAACAGAATGGCAAATATAAATGTTATGGTTGCCTTGCTATATGCAGTTTCTCATTTTGTACCCATCAGTTGCAGTTTTGTTCTTCTGAAGAAAAAGATGACTAGTAATCAGTATTGAGAAGGAAAACAAATGCTTATTTCGCTTTCTTTCAACCTTAAATAACCTATTAGCTCAACAGAAGTGCTTGAGATGATTTGAAAATTTTATAGGCTAGCAAATTCCTAAATTGGTTTTCTTTAAGTGGTTTTTAGACTGACAGCTTTTTCAGGATTCAAATTATTTGAAATATTTTCTATATGAGAATGTTTTAGAAGTTGTTGACAAGTATGTAATAGGAAATGTCATGGTATTTCTGCCTTTATTGCTTTTATCTGGATGCTACTAGCACACTGTCTTGAAGGTATGGTTATAAATGTTTTATGAAAGGTTACAAAGTTGTCCTTAACTAAATATTTTAACAGTTACAACGTTAATTAGAGATGAGAGTAACTTACGTGTAACTGTGCACAGTGTCATAAAATTTTTCAAATATCCATAAGATCACTCAGAGCTCATGTAAATTGTCTTTAGCATGCTCAGAGGATCTGTTAGTCCCATATTAACTTTTCTAGACTATTCTGATGTGCACATATAGTGTAAAGTCTTAAAGTAACTTAAAGAAGATAAAGTCAGGGTGAAAACTCGCACTGTCCTCACGTAATGAAGCAGATAGGCAAGGGGTGGGCACACAGGTTTGTGTCAGCTGTACATTACAGCCATGGAAGTACCTGCTGCCACCATCTCAGTGGTAGGAAGTGGGGCTTTCCTTACCATCTGCCCTACTGTAAAACTGGTGCAACACTCATAATTTTGTATGCAATTACTGATTCTTAAAATATAAAACCAAAGATTATTTGGAGCACATTTTTCTCGTTAGGCATAACATCATGAATATCAACTTTCTTGCAGAGGGTATGTAAAAGGAATTTCTGCACATAACATCATTCTGAAACTGAAGATGACAGTGTCTGCCCAGAGGGATGTCATACCTTTTGCTCTTGAATATATTGCTTATGCTTATCTTTATGCTTTTAAAGATCATAAGAGAGTGCATGTGATCTTTGCATCTCTATTCCTTATTTTCTAGCTGTAATAGATTACCTGAAACTGTTACAGCAGGGAAGCAGAGTATATTTAAAGTTTTGATATATTTACTTGAAAGGTTATTTCATCATACATTCTACTTATGATTGTAATAATATATATTGATTTTTGTGTAACAGTATTCAAAGTCTACTAAAACCTTTGCCTGTATTGCTTAGACTTTATTACCAGGCAACATAGTTAATAGTATAATGTCAGTATAGTGTGAAACAATTTTGTGATGCAACTTGCATTTTTATTAAGCTTCCATGGTTGTCCAATTCACAGTCATAAGGTTTTGAAAAATGATCATGTATATGTATTTCTGTTAAGCAACTCCATTTCCTTCTTTTAGGAATACCAAACTGTTTTCTGAATATTTTTCATAATACTGACGAACAGTGATATATATGTGTGCGTGTATGTACTGAATTATGCATGTGTCCAAAGAAGGGCAGTGAAGCTGGTGAAGAATTTGGAGCACAAGTCTTATGAGGAATGGCTGAGAGAGCTGAGGTGGTTTAGTGTGCACAAAAGGAGGCTCATGGGAGACCTTATCACTCCCTATAGCTACCTGAAAGAAAGCTGTAGCAAGGTGGGAGCTGGTGTCTTCTCCCGGGTGATAAGTGAAAGGACAAGAGGAAATGGCCTCAAGTTACTCTAGGGGAGGTTTAGATTGGCTGTTAGGAAAAACTTCTTCTCTGATAGGGTGGTTAGGCTAGGCATTTAAATAGGCTGCCCAGGGAGGTGATGGAACCGCCGTCCCTGAAAGAGTTCAAAAGGCACGTGGATATGGCACTTGGCAACGTGGTTTTGGTGTTAAACAGAGCAGTGCTATGTTGGTGGTTGGGCTTGATGATCTTAAGAGGTCTTTTCCAACCTTATCGTTTCTATAATTCTGCACTAAACTATAAAATACAAAAGCAAATATAAACAAATTGGTGACAGTTCTGCTGGAGTTACTCGACATCCTGTGAAAGTCTAGAAAAGAAACAGTTAAATTTTAGTGTGACTACGTAGAGAAAATTATTTCTACAAAATCTAAATTATGTTGTTTTAAGCAATAAGATACACTGATATTTTTTTCAGTATGCTGTTGAGTAGAATGGCCACATTTTAATCTCATTTCCATGTTGTCATTCATTTCTGACAGCTGATGTTTGAACCTGTGTATTAAAGGCTGTTAATAAAAAGAGGCAGGAGAAAAACATAGAACAAGAAAATATTAAAGCCGATGCCATAGCGCCTATGATTTTTGTTCATTTAACCATGGCTTTTCATTCATGTGTTAAGAGAAGAAACGCTAATACTTTCTGCATTTATCTGCTCTCCTTCAAATCATATATACTTACCTACAGCATCAGTATATTGGTTGGTTTCCAGGCTTTTCATTTGCAAAGCACTTTGAGGGTTCTTGAATGTGAAAATCGTTACATGAAGCCAAATACTGTTCTGCTTATAAATGGCTCATAAAAATGCCTCTACTTAAAACATTTCTATGTCTACATGAGTTTGGGTGTGCTTATACCTACCCTTTAAATGGAGATGTTTTTATAAGACATTTTAAAAGGTGAACATAATTTGAGTTTGTATAGCACATCGAGTTTAAGATATCACAGAGAAATGAATTATGGTTCATGGTGGCAACAGAGACTTAATAGAAAATGCTACTAAGAAGATATGTTGTCTGGAGTGTTGTTATAGCTGCATTATGAAAAATAAGTGATTTTATTTTTTCTTAGGCAACTGACTGTTCAGTAAAGGTACTGGAATATGATATCTAATATGTAAGATAGCCAGTTTTTTTGAATCTAGATTTTATTTTAGGAAAGTCTTTGATGGGGAGGGAGGGCTAGTGTCTGCTATAGTACATTTGTTTCTCTCAGAATATTCACTCCTGTTGGCCCACAGTTAGGAGCTGGATGGTACATATAAGTGATTGTGTCATGCTAGTGGAAATAAAGTTGGGCTATATTTTCACATGTGCATTATTTTGTATTGTGATACTATCAGATTCCACAGAGTAACCCTGACAGTGTGTTCTTAAGGTGAAGCCTAGGGTAAAAGAGTAC